GCACCTCGGAGGTTGCGGGTCACGGGTACCAAGTGTGGGTAAAAAAGACGTCGGTCCAGATTTTTCATTAAATGATAAAAAAGTGATTTTCAAAATCAATACATGACACAAAAATGAGATCAAATGCCTAATAAATTGAGGCTTGTGATAAAATTGTGTCATATGGCATACTCAGAGTACAGCGACAGAATGTAGCTTTGAAGACTTCGATATGTTGAAAATATAATACCTTTTTTATTAATATCATAATAATGATTATAATCATAATCATGTGGTAACCCAGGAATTGTCTCATGATTCAACCTACTTGAGGACGTCATTTCCTGACCAATCAAATATCGCCATTTTATAGTGTGTCAATCATATCGGCATTGTGCTCGCGTAGACYATAATGAGTAAAGTATATCTCCTCGACGCTAAGCTCATCATTACAGATGAGTTTAATATGATTTGTTTAGGAGGTCCTTTTTGAAAACCATTTCTTTGTAAATGAAAAAGTTTCCTCAATAAAGATTATTATTATTGTGCATAATTTGTTTGCCGACACTMGATTAATATTTTCACTGCCTTATGGGTATCTCTGAGTATTGTTTCTAGTAAGTATTTTGACAAGCGTTCCCATCTGCAGTTGTCAAGCGGACTGACAATCGAAATTTTCCCAGTGCTACAAACAGGCTCTTTCTATAGTATGTCGAGACTCAACAATTGTGTTTGCTTCAAATGTTCACGGTCTACATAAGAAACATTTAATGACATTTATTGAGGCATACAATTTGAAATAAATATCTAGACACTTTGTATTTTGATATGAGAAATTTTTTGACTTCATTCGCGTCAGATGTGGAGCACTAGATCACACTCTGTTTGCTTCTAGACTCAGGTAATGTGAAGGGTTAGGAATCAAGACACTAGCAAGTAATTTCTGAACCTATTTTCACTACCAGAAATAAWGCATGAAATTAGCATAACAACAGATATCCCACAATGCCTTGCAGTGTATAAATGAGAGTGATCTGCATGCTTTGTTCATTCTGATTCAAACCACGGACACATACTGGTTTAATTCCCCCCCCCCACCCTTTCGTGGCCAGCAGTCTTTTCAGACCTGCCCATATCTCATTGTATATTCATGTGTATTGTAGGTAGTGATAATATTGTGATAAGTATTAAGGGCTATTAACATATTTTAACCTCGTCTTTTATGTATAGTTTAAAACACTCGAGATCGTGTTTTATCAGGTATAAAGATTCGAACCCAAGGCGAGAATCTTTATACCTGATAAAACA